GATTTATACTGATTTTGGGTTTTTGTAATAGTTATAGAGAAAATACATCAGCAATTATTTTATTACCCTTTAAATTGATTTCTGGAGATTATCCAAGGTGCTTCATGACCCATAATTGGGTCCCAAGCCCAACTTTGGGAACCAAAGTGCAGTGGTTCCCAAACCTTTCAGCTTTTGACCCACAAAATAACAGTAGCAGAGACCTGAGCCCCCAGCTATTTTTGGATGATAAACATTTGTATCAGGTCAACAAAACATGGGCATCGTAACAATATTTTTATACTACATTTATCCATTTTAAATATAATAACCTCACTCCTTTGTAACAACTAAGGCAAAAATGTAATAGTCAGAAAATCTTTTCAGGACCCCACCTTGATGTTTCAGGACCCCACTTTGGGTCCCGACCCCAACTTTGGGAAACACTGTACTACTTTGTTATAATTATCTAGAGACAGCAACTGTATGTCTAGATTTATTCAGTTAATAACTGGCTTTATAATAAAATGATGAAGTAATGAAATAAGAACGCACAGATTTCCCACAGTCCAGCCTTTTTCAGTCAGATTTAAGGTGAATGCTTTCACCATTGGGCACATTATATTCAACATGAAAAAAGCTGAAGAACAACTAGCTTGTTATTCCTCAGCTGATTGTGCTGACTGACATGAAATAAAATAATCCTTTTTTTTCCCCAATTAGCATTAGAAGTTTCTGTGATGCAACACAATTCACAAAGCATTTCCAAACTGTTTGTGGTCAGAAAAGATTCAAGTTAAAAAAAAAAAAGGACAGCAGCTTCAGTTGTATAGAAATTAGCTGGTAAAGACCACCACAAAGCTCTAATTAAATTGTGGTCATCGTGGCTGAGTGATTCATTTAAAAGCAATAGCTGAAAGAAAACAACTGATTGTGTAATCAGCTGTAGAGATCATTTAGAGCAAAACAAATTCAATTTTCTGCCCTGGATGAGTTGAAAAGTTGTTTTATGAATACAGAATTTAGTCTGCCAGGTAACCTGATCAAATTACTCCAGAAGACTAGTCACATATTTGGACACTAGAACCGGTTTTAAGTCTTAGGCTTTCTGTATTTACCAAAAACAAAAAAACTTCACCTTAACTCTTTGAGATCTCACAGACGTTGGCTTTTTTTAAAACTCATTTTAGTGATATCATCTTTAGCCAAGGACCTGACCGGTTCAGAAGAATGCTTTATTTATTTATTTATATTTTTGTTTTTTGTAAGACTCTTACTTTGATTTTGAAACCATGCAGCTTACGCGACAAACAGTGGTTGATTTTTCTGACACCAAAGCTTTTTTGAATCCCGGTCTCAGAGTGGAAGTTTTTGGATCCCCCAAACAGAAGTGTGAATTATACTACAGATGGCAGTGGTGAATAGAAAAGAAGAAAACAATGTGACAGACATAAAGTAGTGCTGTAGCCCCAGCAAGTGTTATTAGCTGAAAACTTGATCTCTTGGGTCTTTGCTGAGTGTAGTTTCTTTGACTTGACTTACAGATATTGTTCATCCAAGGGAGATATGGGATTCTTTATCTTTTTGTCCTCCACTTGTAGAATTTTCCTCACTTYCTTTTTTTTTAAAGCACACGCTGCAGAAAAAAGCTGTCACGGTCAGGTACAAGGACTGGATCGAAGACTCTGAAAGACTTTGGGAAACCATGATAAATTATTGATCAAGACTATTTCTAAAGACACTACACTCAAGAAAAGGAAGTACTGGTATGGATACGACATTGAGGACCCTGTATCGTTTGGAGTTATGCACAAACATTATTCAGCATGGTATAAAGAAAATGGGACAGAAAAGCAGTTTCCATGGTGGAAAGACAGAATTATGAGCAAATGTCTGGGAGGAATAAAAATTGAATTACTGTGGTTGGGATTTTAGAAAAGTAATTATACTTAGGTTTGTGTTGACATATTTTTTTAATACATAAAGGGTTGTTTTTTTGTTTTTGTTTTTATTGATCATTTAATAATCAGATGGGGGAGAGTGTAATGGAAATAATACTTTTAGGTTTAAGCCAGTAACGGTTTGGAAGAAGGGAAACCTGTTGTATATTTTGTGTTTTGAATCATGAAGCTTGGTTTGCGTGCTTAAATATTACCGACTATAAAGCAGTCTTTATCTGCCGTTCCAAAGTTTCCTTGTAAAGGAAATGCATTTGCAACTTTACATACTGCTGTTTAAATACGACCTGCTAACAGCTGACTGTAGCTCACAAGTCTGTTTTAAAGGGCAATATTATGTGTTTCTCAGGCATATATTTAAATACTACACCATAATAAAGTTTCTATGTCAGCTTTAGTTGTTATTAAAATGCTGTTTTTATGTTTAAATAGAAAATAAACTTGACTTCTCATCACTTCCTCTTCTAAACGCCTTGAAATTGGCCTCTTTCTCTTTAAGAACCACCTTCCGCTTCTGTCCCGCCCATTTCGGGGGGGGGTGCTATGATGCAGTTTACATACTTGGCATCTGAAGATACATTTCCTCAAAGGTATTTTGAATCTGAAAATAGCTTCACTGAGTGAGAAGTAGTGTTAGAAGCTCAGCAGACAGTTAGGTTTCACTTTCAGTTTCACCAGTTGTTTGCTTTGTTGCTGCCGAGAGCCTGCAGGAGTCATGGGCGGGGTGTGTGGGGTGGGGGTGGGGAGGTGTGCTCCGTGATGAGGAAGCTGGGCTTGGAGACACACGCCAGAGGCGGAGATGGTCCCAAAAGGTGGTTCTAGTCCCAACCTGTTGTTGTTGCCCCTCTGCCTGGCTGTCTCAGGACACTACAGGATTTCTCAAACATGCATGAATGAGTCAAAGCAAGGCTTTTGGGCATGTTTTTGATGAGAGGATAACATTATAMCATGATATAAAACTCAAAAATGTTGATTTTACATGATATAGCCCCTTTAAGTCTGTCCATCAGGTGAGGGCTGCCTGACTGACTTTTTAAAAATATTTGTTTTGTTTTGGAGCTGCCAACATTCCTGGCCGTAAACATCCAGCGTGCCCAGAGTGAGTTATCTCTGTGCCACTTTCTCCTTTACACAACACCCACTGGAAAGCTGGTAAATACAGCGCTCCCACTCCACCGATTCACCAAGTGGCGGCTCTGAGAATAGACGATGTTGTCCCGCTTCTGTGTAGGCCAGCTGGTCTTAGACTCGTGTGAAATCCTGTTTTTTTCTCTCTCTATAAATAATCCTGTGTTTAATCTCACCCATTTTATTTGTCATAAACAACAAACAGAAAATATTGCTTGTGTTTCTTTGTAACCATTGAACTCAAAATGTCCCACGTCTCAGCGGGAAGGAGATCGAAGAGCGTTTTATTGTGATACCTTTCAAAAAAACCTGTTTGCTGCTTCTTTTTCTCTGTCGCTGAGTGAACACAGAAAGCCGATCGCTGCCTGACATATCGGGGCTGCTTTGTGTCTCTTTTGATGATATCTACATTAGTCTTTCTCTGGCTGCTTACACAAAACTCAGTCTGTCTTTTCTTTCAGATGGGATTAAAAACAAAAGTTCCTAAAATAGCTTCAGACGAGTCGGTCCTATCATGTGTTCACTCAGTCAGACTTGAAGTCAGAGGGTCAGATAAATGCGTCTGTCGCCAAATAGTTCAAAAATCATATGCTGCTCTTTAAAGCTATTTTTGTTGCGTAAAAATAAGTATTGCCAGATGTGGGTCTATTTAAAGCATCTTGTGCTGCTTTTTTGATTATCAGAGGATCATCTGGAGCTTTAACCTGATAATTCTGTAATCCAGGAGGAGGTTGTTTTTTGCGTTCATTCGTAGCAGGGAGGGTATAAACAGATACGGTTGGGCTGGTGGCAGGCTTGCTGAAAAGAGGATGTGTGGCTGAAAAGTTGACAGCTGCTGTGTCAGTGTCGAGGTGTTTGTCATGCTGAGACTGGAAACTCCAGCCTGACTATTCCTCATCAGGACTGGGACAATAGAACTCAGCTTATTAATATCCCAGGGCTTTCTAAAAATACACAGTAGGTGTTCCTTGTTGTACTTGATTCTGAAAAGCTGCGAGCTTGTCAAATAATTATTTTTTTTTCATTTTAAAAAGCCATGATTTCAGTAATAGTACACAACCTATAGGAGACATATCATGCTTTTAAATCCTTCTTTTTCATATTTAAGTCATTTAGAACAGTGGTTCCCAAACTTTTTATCCTCTGACCCACAAAATATTCATGGCAAAAACTTGTGACCCCAAATATTACTGGTCTGAGTACACAAACTTTGTTAATAACCCTAAAAACACAGGCTTTTTGACAATCTAAACAGCTTGTACATAAATATAAATACTTTTTTACACTGATTTTGTGTTTTTGTATTAATTATAGGGAAAATATTACATCAGCAATTATTTTATTACCCTTTAAATTGATTTCTGGGGATTACCCAAGGTGCTTCATGACCCATAATTGGGTCCCAAGCCCAACTTTGGGAACCAAAGTGCAGTGGTTCCCAAACCTTTCAGCTTTTCACCCACAAAATAACAGTAGCAGAGACCTGTGCCCCCAACTATTTTTGGATGATAAACATTTGTATCAGGTCAACTAAACATGGGCATAGTAACGATGTTTTTATACTACATTTATCCATTTTAAATATACTAACATCACTCCTTTGTAACAACTAAGGCAAAAATGTAATTAATTCAGAAAATCTTTTCAGGACCCCACCTTGATGTTTCAGGACCCCAATTTGGGTCCCGACCCCAACTTTGGGAAACACTGATTTAGAATAAAGATATTTTTCTGCACTCCTACACTAGAGACTGAAAATGCATTTAACTGCTAAAAACGTGGATTTTGCAGGATAAATCCCCTTTAAAGTGCCTGTAACATAGGTCAAAATAGGTCAAATGGTGTGAATCATGCCACATTTCTTAAATATTAAGATGTTTTCTGTCAGTTTTTCTAGGAAATACATGTCACAGATGAATATACTAAATGGTTTTTCTGTATAAATGAAAAACATCAGGTAAAAATTGGCTCTGGGATGGACTGGAGACCTATTTAGGGTGTACCCCGTCCCTCGCACTGTGACTGCTAGATTTGGGCACCCGTGACCCTGAAAGGARGAAGCGTGTATAAATAATGGAAGATACAAGTTGGTTGTCTTGTACTTTTCATTCCAAAGAGAAAAAGGGGAAAGCACATGTAGAGCTTTCTAGTTACTTTTGTGTAGCTTAAATTAATTTATWATCGTCTTAAATCAAGAATGAGCCAAGCTACTGTAAATTCATTTGCGTTGGAAGATCATGCAGCACACATATTGCAAAACATTGCTTTCTGCTCCAACAGTAACTAGAGTTAGAGAAGAAATAGCTTGAATGAGTCACAGGTCAACATTAATAAACAGCCTCTGAAAAGGGCTGAACACGAGGGGGAAAAAATGTGCTTACAGAAAACCTCAAAATCTACTTCTTAAGAACACTTTAAAGGACAGTTGTTTTTTAAACTTTTCCACAGTACAGTACAACATCTTAAACTTAAATTTGTGCAAATCAAGTTAGACAAGAAGCATCGCCGCTACTTTTTCCCCTTTTCTCATCTCAGCAGCACAGTTTGAAAGARCACACTTCCTCAAAGCAAAACCTCAAAAATCACCTCAGTTGCTCCGTGAAGAAAAATAATATTTTGTTTTTGGATCTCTCACAAATCATCTGCTTCTTGCTGGCTTGTATCAAACCTGCAGCGTAAAAGCTATTCAAGATTATCTTCTGGTCATAAACTCAATGTATGAATATCTGACAGGTGTTGGTGCCCCACATAGATCATCTCAGCTGAGTGATTGCTTTTGATTATGACAAAGAATTCTGCAATGCAAGACAAAAAAAGAGGATAGGGTAGGTGATCATTAACAGCACAACACCTTGTAAACGACCTGTTAAGATTGTTTATTGTGGCAAAGAGTCAATGCAGCAGAATCGTGAGGTCTAAAAGGGGAAAAAATGTACAGTCAGATTAAGCGAGACTATTTAGCGAGAGCACGTTTACACAAGTGAAGCAACAGCTGTTTGCAGAGGGTGTGTGCAGTTGATTCTCTGGCTTAATTGATGTCCTGAATGTTTAGGATTCAGCTGAAAGTGGTAGGCATGTCCCAGCGTGAAAAATGCAAAACGGAACCTACTCAGAAATGCTGCGAGTCTGAGCTCCAGAGCCGTGAAGCAAAACCAGGCTCTGGTCTGCTTTCGGCCCAGTGTTGACTGTAACTATGGTGTTGTGGTGTGTCAGAGGCACCGAAGCACAAATTCTTTCCTGTCCGTGACTCACGCCCCCGAACGCGGTGCAGACTGTACGCAAAAGGCTTGGGAAACCTCAGAACACACGGTCATCCAAACCACCAGAGTTCTGTAGCTACAGCAGCGGACAGAGTCAAGTAGTTTACATAGATTTTCATGCATGCTTGCACACAGAAGCCGGGAGGCATTCCCACATCAGAGGAGTGCCCATTTTCAGAGCTAGTCGAAACGCTGRTTTTKAACTCCATAAATGAATTGAGGGATGGGCATTTTAAACACACATGTAGGCATGATCCACGCCTAGGTTGGGTCACGTCTTCTGTGGCAAGGAGAAGAATGAATGTTGCATCACAGTGTGGGTGTGTTGTTTTCTACTCGCTCCATACAKTCATAAATATAAAGGAGATATTTAAAAGTCACATTTAAAGACAACAGATTCTGCTGCATCACAGTTTGTTGAAATGAAGTTGAGAAAATTCTTTGTATCCTCGTAAGATTTGATTTATTATTATTATTTTTCTGAAGATTACAAGCCTGTGGGCACTATATTGTTTGGAGTTTCTGTACGGAAATAAGAGAACTTTACAGGAACAAACACAAAGTATAGCTCTTTTCTGATTAGCCATTTTATGTATGACTATCTTGGCAAAGTTATTGTTGGTTTACACTGAAAGGCAAAGTGTCAAAGGTTGGTTGAATTACTCAAGAGGAAAATTCCAACTCCTAGTGAATGATTTTTCTAAACTGTTTTTTTTCCCTGAACAGCAGTTTTGTTATTGTCAAGCACGGCGGTGTGAGGTCTCATGCTCTGGAATGTTATTTTTATTTATTAATTTTTTTTGACTGAAACTTAGAATAGAGGATGAGGAAAAGTACCGAGCATTTCTCCGTAAAAATATTTTCCATTGTGCTCAGGATCAAAGAATAATTTAGAGACAAAGACCAACAACGTAATAAGAAAATGCAGGGGGTGGGTGACATAAAGTTTAAGTTTAGGACTTTTCTGGACTGCATCCAATATTTGCCTTTTTACACAATTTGCAGCTACGCTAAGAATGTAACCCCCGCCAAAATCTGGGCTTCACTGCATTCAAACGGACTAAAACAATGAAAATTGTACGTGTAATAGAACTAATGCTTTATGTTTAAGCAGGTGATTCATGACATCCTTTAATGACCTAGATTTTCATGACATTCTGTTCATCTGCATAGAGTGATTAATGTCACAACAAGAGCTTGCTAACAACAATAATCATTCTTAGATATCACTTGTGTCTATCTTTGTGTTTTCCACTGACCTTGTATC